CAAATTCCTGACTGGTGATCCACCTGCCTTGGCCCCCCAAAGTGCTGGGATTACAGGTGTGAGCCACCGTACCAGCCTGCAAACATTTTGTTTTCTCTCTAGGAGCCCTACGGCCAGATATACCAGGTCCAGTTTTCAAATCCCTACATCTGCCCTAACCCCTGTGTGCCAGGGCACTGACTGTGCTCCTGGGTGGTGAGGGGGATGTGGAGGGGACTTAACATGTGCTTGGTTCTGTGCTGGGCATTTTGTAACCCGCAGTACTGGGATTATAGGCCTGAGCTATGGTGCCCAGCCTGAAGTATGGTTTTATTCAGTGGCTCTCTTACACTGTCTGTCTCTGTCTCGGCTGCCCGCGCCGTCTCTGAGGCTCCTGTCGCTCCCACGCCTGCAGCTGCATTCCCTGGCCTGCAAGGCCGGCTCTCCCTCATAGGGTCAAAACCTTCACTGTCTCTCTTTGGGCGCAAGTCATACGCACGCATCAGCAGGACAGTTACACCTTTTACAAATAGCAGTGACTCTCAGCCAGGTGATGAGCCTTCCCACGTTATGGCTCTCTGTGAAACGGCTTTGCCATGTGTGGATTCATCTCACAGAGTTAAACCTTTCTTTTGATTCAGCAGGTTGGAAACATTCTTTTTGTAGAATCCGCGAGGGGACATTTCAGAGCCCATCGAGGCCTGTAGTGAGAAACCGAATATCCCGCGATAAAAACTAGGAAGAAGTTATCTGTGAAACCGCCTTGTGATGTTTGTTTTTTAAATCCTGCTCTTCCCACTAGCATGTAAGCTTCCGAAGAGCAGGGCTGTTCATTCTGCCCTCTGTGTGCACCCAGCCCGGAGCGGCGCCCAGAGTGGGCAGGTGTGCGGTGTGCACGCCCTGAGTGACTGCCTGGTGGGGATGAAGGGCACAGGAAGGACACGCAACCTGATCTTTATTCTAAGGAGCCTGCACTGGAACAGGATTAGCCTGAAGGTGGCTCTGATGGAGGGAAGCGTGGAGCAGGAGCTGCTGGCCTGGTGGGCTCAGGAGGGCCCCCTGGAGGAGGTGAGCCAGTGGTCGCTGTCACGTTCAGAGACCCTGAGGATGTCTGACTGCCCTGCGAACTGGGCTCTGCAGACGGCAGAGGTCTGCTGATTCGCTGTTGTACCCCAGGAACAACAGGCACCCAATCCACGGTGGCCTTTGTCCAACAAGTATTCATTGGACGCTTGTCACATATGTGGTTCTGAAGACCCGGAGGAGAACCGCAGAGCCATGGCCCACCCCTCATACCCATTGAGAGCTGGTCCCTGGTACAGAGGCAGGCTCCTGGGGCGGCAGAGATGGGTCGGGGGCAGGGCGTGGGGGAGTTGAAGGCACCAGTGCGGGTTGGTCTGGGAACAGCTCCTGGATGAGGAGAAGCTGGGAGGACAGTGACAGGAATAATTCTGGAGTGGAGGGAACCGCTTGTGCAGAGGCTCTGAGCAGGAGGCCCGCTGTCCCACTTTCCTGGAGCAGTCTCAGGGGGTTCTGGAAGGCCTGGCTGGACCCACACAGAGAATTCCAGCCAGGGAGGGCTGGGCGCTTGCGAGCTGACCTGCCCCAGAACAGCTGTCGGTGCTGTCCGTGGGTCCTGCTGCGACCTGCCAAGGGGCCACTGGGGATGAGTGGCGGACTGGAAGTGTCCAAATCCGACTCCACTGTTGTGTTTTGGTTTGGGTGTGTGTGTGTGTTTAAGAAGAAACAGCTGCAAGGATGAGAGAAAATGGATGTTTGGAGAAAGTTCTGCTGCTCATAAACTCAGGGCTGGCCACGGTGAGCCCACATACCACGGGGCTGAGCTGCCTGGTCCAGGGTCAGAAGTGGAACCTGGCCACCACAGTGACAGGCCTGCCTCCTTAGGCCTCAGACTTAGGCCAGCACAAATTCCTCCTTCCTTCTTCCTCTCTGATGGGCTCACAGCCCTCTCTGCAGAGGGGCCTCAGACCCAGCACACTCTGTGGGTGTCCCACGCACTGCTGGGAGCACAGCCCCTGGGCAGGCAGGGTCCCCGGACATAGCCATAGCATCCCATTCAAGGATTTCTATTCCCTGAGGTCTCTCCGGGAGTGGGGCTGGACCTGTGTGCCCTGGGGTCCCCCAGGCAGGACCCTCCTGCCTCACTCTGTTGGCCGCATGGCAGCGGCCATCACTTTCTACTGAACCCCAATATGAGCTGGGGCTGGCATCCCATTGAGTCCTCACAGGAGCCCTGCCATGTAGGTGATGCTGTACCCAGTTTACAGATGAGAAAACTGAGGCTCCAAAAGTCTGTGCCACTTGCCAGGGTTCTGGAGTCACGGCCAGGAACTCTGACACCAATACACGAGATCTTTCCCTCCTGGATATCCAGGTCAGGCCCAGGAAAGGGACAAGAGCCGGTGGGTTTAGGGGAAAGGTACAGGCCTGGCAAACCCAGAACAGGATTCAGGCTAGATTCCTGCATCAGTGCTGAGAGCTCAGGGATGCTGAGGACAGAGCCCAGGGAAGCTCGCTGAGCTTCCCCATCCCTCCCTGAAGGGGGCTGGCTTCTTCCCATGCCCCTTTAACCGCCCTCAGCCTCTGCGTCCACCCTGCACACCCACGGCAGGGCGGCAAACCCAGAGCACACCGCACATATTGGGGTTGTCTGTCCACCCTTGCTGTGCCGTTTGTCATTGTGAGACTTGGAAAGCAGCTTCATGTCCAGTAGTGGGGCTGAATGCTGGTGATCACTGGTTTCATGGGATATTAGGTCACCATCTAAAAAGAGGCGAATGAGGACAAGACAGTGCCATGGAAACATTGCCGAGGTCAACGGAGGAAGTGAGAGGAAAAGGCACATGAGTGACAGGAGCATAATTATACTCAGAAAATCCCTCCAGGAGCAAGTCTGGAAAGAAACGCCCCAGAATGACGGCGTGTATTGTCTGGGGGTGAGCAGGTGAGACTCCAGGAGGTTCTTTTCCTTGGTTTTAACATTTTACATGAATATTTATTTTGTTTATGATTTTATAAAGAAACCTTCACGGAGAGAAATGACCTCAGCTAGAAGGAAAAAGCCAAAGGCCTTTGCGTTCCAATGCCCTAAGCAGATGGAGAAAATGAGGCACAGAGGGAGACGGTCACCCAGGGCTCCACAGCAGAGAGGAGGACTCAGGCCCCTTAATGCATGGTGGTGCTGTTCCCACCACACGGGCTGGGCCAGCAGCTGGGGGTCCCAGGGAGGACACAGCCTCATCCCCCGGGGCCTGGCCAGGCAGGGATGGAAGTGGAGTCAGGAGGGAACTAGGAAAGGCCTCCCAAGGCGGCCTGGCCGTGGAGGGATGAGTGCCCAAGCATGATTTGCCTTGAGTTGGAATCACTCCTCCACGCCCTGCCCCAGGGGCTTCAGGGGTTCAAGGCTCGCTCCATCTTGCAATCCTTAGGTGGACAGAACACAAATGGGCTGAGTCCCTCTTTGCAGAGGTGGCGTCAGCCTGGGCAGGAAAGAGGCATGGGCCGTGGAACCAAATCACCTTCATTTCAAACAGAAAAGCGGGCAAAGGAGTTGGGCAGGCATCTCACAAAGGAAAGTGTCCCACAGCCAGTCAACTTGGGAAGATGCTCGGCTCTGTCAGCCATCAGGGCATGCAAATTAAAACCCCTCGAGATCCTCCTGTGCGCCCACCAGAAAGGACGAAGTGAAGCGGCTGGAACATACCAGGTGGCGGTGAGATCCTGGGGCAGGGGAGCTGGGGTGGATGCAGCTGCTGGGAGTGGGAACTGGAATGAGTGCTTTGGAAGACTGGCAAGATCTACTCAACATTCACAGGAGTCCTGGGCAGGTGGACGCCCTGCGGATGTCTTGTTGGGTGCAAGAAGCTCCCTGAGGCCTCCACTCAGCAGGGCGTATACCCCTGGCTGAAGGTCACAGGGCCCTTTTTGTGCGTCTTTTCCCTTCTGAAGCGCCCCTGCCTCGCTGAGCTTCCCCGTCCCTCCCTGAAGGGAGCCGGCTTCTTCCTATGCCCCTTTAACCGCCTTCGGCCTCTGCGTCCACCCTGCACACCCAGGACAGGGCGGCAAACCCAGAGCACGCTGCACAGCTCTGCACCCGCACAGACCTGCTCCCGCGCACCCATGGCCGGCGCCGCTCGGGCTGGCTGGCGTGTTTGGGATCATTGTTTAGAGGACAGTCCTGACACGTCCCGCTGTGACACGCGTGCTGCCTCGCCTGCTGGCCCTGGACTTTGCTCTGGTGTGTGGCCGAGTACACTTGTCATCAGAACCCTCTCTCTCGTTGGCAGGGGGCAGTGGATGCAGGGCCGGGGCCCAGGTCCTTGCTGTATGATGGGAGGCACGTTCCTGGCTCTTTCTGGGCCTCAGTTTCCCCACATACAAAACCGTGGGAGAGCCGGAAGATTTCCAAAGGCCCTCTTAGGTGCCACCTCTCTTGGCATACTGCCTCGGGTTCCCCTGCCTCCTGAGAGCCAGGCAGCAGGAGGTGAGGAGCAGCCGTAACCTGTGCCTCTGGAGGCTGGCCTTCTGCTGGGGAGTTCAAACACAGTGTACCATGTACCACCCCCAATTACTCACTTGTTCAGAGCCCAACACATAGCACTTAGTAGGTATTTGCTGGATAAATGGCTTATTGCGAAAGGGGCTGGGTGGAGGCGGGAAAGCCACTGGGTGTGTCCAGGCGACGAGCTGGGATGTATGTGGGGATGCTCTGGGTATATGTCGGGGTGGAACCAGAAGGGATGGGAGCACTGGATGGAGATGGTGGGAAGGGCTGTATGGATGGGAGGGGAACTGGGTAGATCTGGGGGAGGGTCAGGAGGAATGAGGGATGAACACTGGGTTAAATGGGGGAAGGGGCTGGGAGAAGTTGGGAAGGGGTCTGGGAGGGCGAGGGAGGCAGGGAGGGACTGGAAGGCTGGCCCTGCTGGACAGCAGCCATCACAGCCTTCTCATGCCTCTGAAGCTCATTATCCTAGAGTTTCAAGGTCAGGTCAGGCAAGTGCGGAGCCCAGGTGGGGGCTGGAGTTTGTGGAAACCAGCCTGGTCTTGGAACACATCAAGGAAACGAAATCACTGCCCGGCGGCCGGCCCGGGGACGCTTCTCCAGCCTGCCTTCAGGAAGACGGTGAGCAAACACAGACCAGACAGGGCTGAGGCCAGCTGCGGGGCAGGGAGCCGCGCTGGCCTCGTGCTGTCCCCACAAAGGGCTCCTGTTCCCTAGGCTGGGATGGTGTCACAGCTTCCTGAGTAGTGTCATCTCGGCTCCCTGAACTCCTAGATGGGCCAGGCAGTCCTGGGGTGGGAGGCCCGCACTGGGGGTCAGAAGCAGCATCCCCAGAGCTGTTATCCTCCTCGTCATTGTGGCTGCAGACAGGGGAACTGAGGCAGGGCCTAAAACCAAGGGCCCTACAGAGATGCCACCGGAACCGCAAGCCTCTGCCTTTCCTCCCTGTGCACTTTCTGTGATGGTTAGGGTTAGGGTTAGGGTTAAGGTTAGGGTTAGGGTTAGGGTTAGGGTTAGGGTTAAGGTTAGGGTTAGGGTGAGGGTTAGGGTGAGGGTAAGGGTGAGGGTTAGGGTGAGGGTTTGGGTGAGGGTAGGCTCACCTCACTGCAGAGCCAGAGAGCACACCCCAGTGAGGGAGCTGAGGGAGGTCTGAGCCGCCGGCTGCTACCTGTTTCTCCACGGGTCCTGGTGAGGGTGGACCGCCCCAAGCCCACCTTGAGTCTGTTCCTTGACATGCTCCTTAGATTGAGGCTTTAAAACACTGCCTGCCCTAACTACTCGGAATCAGAAAGAATCACCCAACTGTGTTCTAACACTGGGTGTCAATTCCCTGCGCACCTCCATGGACTCAGCCCCATCTCAGAAGCAAGGAAACTTCTAGAAGGAGGAGTTTGCTGCAGAACATCCAGAGCCCACAGCACTGAGTCATCTCCATGCCCCATGCCTCTGGTTCTCTGTAGCACATGGTGGGGGGTGGGTGGGGGGTGCAGCACCTCCTCCTGATGCATACAGTGTCAGCACTGGAAGGGCCCCTACCCCACACCCAGTGCCCAGTGCCCAGTGCCCAGTCCCGTGGGAGCTCCTCATTTGGGGCAGAGACCAGGGCAGAGTCAGCGAGGGCTCCTCTTCTCCCTCACTCAGGGGCTACAGACTGGTCACTTGAGCTCTCTGGAAATCAGTCTCCTCATCTGGAAAACATGGCTCACCTGGACCTTGTGACGGGCGTGAGGTGATGGCATCAGATAATGTGCACGAATGACCCTGTAAGTCATAAATTGCTTGCAGTGTCTCTCCAGTGACCGCCAAGTGCATTTTGGAGCCCAGTGAACTTGAGTTTGCATCCCAGCTCCTGACCTCCTGTGGCCCACGTCCTCCCTGGAGGATGGGCTCTGGAGGCTGGAGGGCTGGTGGAAGAGGAAGTGAGATGGCAGCTCACTGGCTTCTGCGTCAGGCCCCAACTGTACCCTGGTCCTCCAGCCTTGCACGTGCCTCCTCACAGCTTCCCTTGAACATCCTGTATCATCCAGCAGCCCTGAACCGTGTGATTTTTCCTCTGGGAGGTGACAGCCTAGACCAGAAGTTGAAGCCTGGCCCCAGGGTGTGGTGTGCCCCACTGTCAGAGGGACCTCAGATGAGCCACTGAGCCTCTCTCTGCCTCAGTTCCCTTATCATCTAAAATGGGTGGAATCAGCTGGGTGTGGTGGCTGACGCCTGTAATCCCAGCATTTTGGGAGGGCGAGGTGGGTGGATCGTTTGAGGTCAGGAGTTCAAGACCAGCCTGGCCAACATGGTGAAACCCCATCTCTACTAAAAAATACAAAAATTGGCTGGGTATGGTGGCGGGCACCTGTATTCCCAGTCACTCGGGAGGCTGAGGCAGGAGAAATCACTTGAGCCTGGGAGGCAGAGGTTGTGGTGAGCTGAACTCGAGCCACTGCACTCCAGCCTGGGTGACAGAGCGAGACCCTGTCTCAAAAATAAAAAAATAAAATAAAATAAAGTAAAATAAAATAAAATAATCATCTGGTCCCTGGCTGGGCTCACAAAAATCCCACAGGGAATGAATGATTATCAGTCTGCCGGGGCTGCCATAGTGGGGTTCTACAGACTGGGGGCTGGAACAACAGACACTTATTTTCTCACACCTCTGGGGGCCTGACAGTCTGAGATCAAGGCGTCAGCAGGGTTGGTTTCTCCTGAGGCCTCTCTCCCTGGCTTGCAGATGCCGCCTTCTGTCCGTGTCCTCACCTGGTCATCCCTCTGTGTGTGTCTGCATCCTCATCTGTTATAAGGATACCAGTCAGACTGGATTAGAGCCCACTCTGATGACCTCACTTTACCTTAATCACTTTTTTATTTTTATTATTTTGACACGGAGTTTCGCTCTTGTTGCCCAGGCTGGAGTGCAATGGCACAATCTCAGCTCACTGCAACCTCTGCGTCCCAGGTTCAAGTGATCCTCCTGCCTCAGCCTCCCGAGTAGCTGGGATTACAGGCATGTGTCACCACTCCCGGCTAATTTTGTATTTTTAGTAGAGATGGGGTTTCTCCATGTTGGTCAGGCTGGTCACAAACTCCCGACCTCAGGTGATCCACCCACCTCGGCCTCCCAAAGTGCTGGGATGACTGGCATGAGCCACTGCGCCCAGCCTAATCACCTCTTAAAAAGCCCGGTCTCGGCCAGGAGTGGTGGCTCACGCCTATAATCCCAGCACTTTGGGAGGCAGAGGTGGGTGGATCACGAGGTCAGGAGATCGAGACCATGCTGGCTAACAAGGTGAAACCCCAATCCCTACTAAAAATACAAAAAAAAATTAGCGGGGTGTGGTGGCATGTGCCTATAGTCCCAGCTACTTGGGAGGCTGAGGCAGGAGAATCGCTTGAACCTAGGAGGGAGAGGTTGCAGTGAGCCGAGATTGCGCCATTGCACTTCAGCCTGGGCAACAGAGCGAGACTGTCTCAAAGGAAAAAAAAAAAAAACACCCTGTCTCCAAACACAGTCCCATTCTGAGGTCCTGGAGGTTAGGGCGTCAACATACAAATTGTAGGGGGATGCAGTTCAGCCTGTAACACCTTGTGTGGTCATCACTCCAGGGAAGGACGTAAGGAGCCAGGACTCCCACAGTGTTGTGTTTGCAAAGGAAGACCCGGGACCTTCAAGGTCTTTGTTGCCAAACTCCTGTCCCTCAGGAGAGGCAGAGGGTCATCTCCTCCCTGGAGTGGCTTCTTGCATGCTGACCTCACTTCTGGAGGGGCCAGGAGGAACCTGCCTGCGTTTCTGAAGCCCAGCTCTAGCACATTTCACTCAGAGGCCAGGATCCCATGCAGAGTGCCAGATGCTGAGGGCAGTTTCGGAGTCTTTCTTTGGTGCTCTGTTATTTTATGCAGGATTCCTATGTAGGAATAGAAATGCATACCTTAAAAACTGCCTCGGTCACTGTAACTGGCAAGTGAGGATCTCTGGAAAGAGCATTTGTTCATTTAATAGGACTGGAAGGCAGCCGCAGCTTCTTGCTTTTTTTAGTTTTTTTTTCCTGGTGATGGTTTTTAAAGCATTTGAACTGCAATGATACTGCAAGAGGAAGAATGGACTTTTCCCGGGTTGGCAGACTCCATCTAGCCATGGCAGCCTGCAGCAAGATTTCTGCGGCTGCCCACATGTCCTGCCTGGTGTAGACCTGGCTTCATCCAAGCTCCTCCGCTCACCACTGACCTCAGATGAGCACCTCACGGGTGGGTCCTGTGAGGGGCACGGCAAGGAGACATCCGTCCCCGGTCAGGGGGACAGAAGGGAGCCGGCCCCTCATGCACAGCCCATAGATGGGGGACAGCAGAGTCCGCGTCTCCTGTGGGGAGGGCAGCGACCCACTGGCTGGAGTGGCGAGGTCACGCCTGGAAGTGCAGCACTGGCGCAGTGGCCAGCATGGGCCCCTTCCCGTTGCACCATCTAGACCTGCCCGATTCATTCCTTTAATTCATTAACTCACTTCTTCATTCACTCACTTCACTTGTTCATCATTCCTCCATCCCACTCCAGGGCTTGCTGAGCGCTTTCCCGGTGTCTGTGTGCGGCCCTGTGCTGGGAGCTGGACACAGGGACCCTCCAGACCTGGGCCCTGGGCTCCGCAAGCTTCCAGGCCACTGAGAGGAGTGGCCAGGTGCCAGTCAGTGCTGTCCTGAGGGCTGGGGCTGCTGCAGCCAATGGTGACAGAGGCACACCAAGTGATTCCTTCTGGAGAACAGGCCACAGCTGGGGGGGGCGGGTGACGGGCTCCTGTGACCCTGACACCAGGGGGAACTCAAATCTTGCTGCCTATACGACATTCACATCCACGCAGAGGCTGCTGGTCAGGGATGTGGGGAAGAGTGGGGACGGCACAGATGGGACGCGCCCCCCCAGCCATCCTGGGTTGGGAAGGCCTAGATGGCCGGGTGTGGGGGTGGTGCTCACACAGATACAAAGTCCAGCTCCACAGAGGCCAGGCCTTCTGTGCAGGACCAGGATTCGCAGACAAGGGCCCGCCCAGAGCTCACACTGCGGCCACCCTAGATCCTGAGAAAGCCCCACGCTGAGGAGGGAGAACCGGAAGCGGAGAGCAAAGCTGGCCTGGGCATATACGGGCGAGGGCACAGAGAACACAGGGCGGGACTGTTGTCATCACCTCGGCAGCTTCCCCAGGGCACGGATGGCCCCTCCCCTGCCCCCAGGGACACTGACCGCCCCCCTTTCCTCCTCAGAATTCAGGCCCGGTGAATAGGCAGAGGTCCTGAGACCGTGGCCATCAGAACGGTCTAAGAGTACAGGAAGAAGCGCAGATTCCTGGGCCCAGCTCCTAGGGTCCAGTCTGGCCACAGCCCCTTTGTGTGCTCAGGACTGTTAGAGACGTTCACATATATTATCTCCACCGATGCTTACGACTCTGGAAGACATGTAGTTCTACAACCTTTACAAAGGAGGAAACCAATTTGGAAAGGTTGAGAAACGTTCCTAACGTGCCATTTCACAGCAAATGACAAAGTTAGGATTTGAACCTGGGCCTAACTCCCAAGTCTGTCTGCTTCCTACGCTCCTGTGCCACGTCCCAAAGGCTGGCAGCAAAGACATCCACCAGGGTCTTTAAGGATGATGACGTAGGCAAACGTTCCTAAACAATTATTTTGTTTTTAGAAGCCTTGCTCTGCAGCAAAGAAAAAAACAATTCAAGAGATGTCAAGAATTTTTGGCAAACAAATAACGCATCTAAGAACAAACACCCAGGGAGGACGCGTCGGCAGCTGTTCTTGGGTTGTTTTCATTCCCCGAATGCTCCGCCCTGTGAGACTAGATGTGTGTTTTCTCTTGCAAAGCAAACAGTTTAGCACAATGTGGGCCTCCTTGCTTGAAAGGTTTCAGATGGAGCTTGTGAACCACATAAAAGGTTAGGCAAACCTTGCTCCCAACTCAGTGCAGTGGCTGGGCACAGAGCCCCCAGGGACTGAGCAAACCTCCTTGTCTGTCTCCTAGGCCTGGGTGTAAATGGAGGAGGTGAAGGGAGGAAGGTCCTTTCACAAGTCACTGCACATTTTCCCTTCACAACACAACACGGGGCTCCCACTGACCACTGTGGAGCTGGGGACATCCTCCTCCAAGCATCGCAAAGCAAACCAAGTCCCTTCCTGGGTGGCTGCTGGACAGGCTGGCGGGATGGAAATGAGCTGAGGTCAGTCCTTGCACTTCAATGGTTGCAGGTGGGTGGAGCCTTCCCGGAAGCCAAAGGAACACCGGCTTCTGGGTTCTCAGGCAGAGCGGCCCTGACCTCCCAGATTTAGGATCAAAGCCCACAGGCCAAGGAAAATCCTCTAATGTAAGCTGCATGACAGCAAGTGGCCCCAGAGGGGAATGCAAAGGCGAGAGTGCCGGGGACCACGGCAGAGCACACGCGGCACAGGCCCGCTCAGGCCAGAGACTGAGCGCGTCTTCCCCTCCTCACATGGAGAGTAGAGGCTCCAGCAGGGCCACAGGGGAGCCACCCAGCTGGGCTCCTCCGCAGGTGCCTCTGGGGCCAAGCAGTCCCCACTGTGGCCAATGCTGGGGCTCCGTGCAGGGAGTCTGTTGTACCCAGCCCAGCTGCCTCGAGCAATTAGGAGGTGGCTCCCACACCAGGAAGGACAACCCCAAGGTTCCTCGGTCTGGTCCAGAGAGACAGGATGCTCACAGGCAGGCAGCAGCTCCAAATAGAAGCCTGGGCTCCACTCCAGCCATGGCCCCAGGGCTCAGGAGAGCCACCCAGGGTGGACAGAGTCACATCTGTGCATGCCCACCTTGCACCGCAGAGGGACCCAAAAGTGCTCTGCCCTGGTTTTTGTACCCTGGGTACCACTGGGCTCACCGAGCAGACGCATTGCAGAGTATCCCATCTGGGAGGACCAAGGCCACACCCAGGGCTGTTCGGGTCATTTCCTCCTTTTTCCAGGGTGTTGCATTCGGTCAGTTCTGCAGGAGAACTGCAAGCCAGAGAGGGAAGAGCCGTCATCCATCCAGGGCCCTGT